TCAAAAAGTAACTCTTTTTCTTGATGTACATTTTAAAAATCCATTTTGAACTTCCAAAGAGTTATTACACTTTGCTGAAGGGCAGTAGGGTGGGTTAGGACATGTTCCATTTGATGTTCAGTATGAGAGATTTGTTTTCTAGTTTGCGAGCTGCATGGCTAGATGAAGCAAAGCGCCTTAATCTTATTAAAAAGAATTGTGACTGCTTTAAACTACTGGCATCTGAAATGTGTAATTTCCATGCATCCATAGCTTATGTGCCATTCAGAGTCTAAAACAAGACGGTCCACTATCCCCTTGTAATTTAGTGCCTCTGGCAACAGCTGTTGGGAAAATGGATCACAAAAAGGCATGACTATGGGGAATGGATTATAGAAAGCATTTTATTGTGGTGGCAATCTGTAATTTCTTCAAATACTACCATGAATCTAAAGGATGGAAGGCATTCTCTGTGCTTAACCATAAAATTAGCTGCTGAGTGGAATGTCTATTGATTTTGAAAAATTCAATTTATTCATTTATTTTTAAAATTTATAGCTCACCTTTTCAGTATAACAATTCACACGGCAGAGAACAAAAGTGAAACAAAGATACAATTAAAAGCATAATAAATCAATCTCCTTTACTGGCATACAAAGGATACAAAAGTATATAAGTCAAAGCATAAAATTGGTGTATGTTCATAAAAGGAGATTATTTAAGATAAAACAAATACAGACATATTAAGGTTAAAAAAGTGCCTCTTAAGTCTTATAGTGATATAAGTTTCATGGAATCTCTCAGAAATGTTGCTACATTCTCCATAATTTCATGCCTGTAGCTGTTCAGTAGAAAGGAAACCCTGGAGAAGTCAGGACAATTTAACCTTTCTTTCAGCATGGAGTTTAAATATTTATTATGGGTTTTTGCATAAAATAGGTAGTAAAATAAAACACGTGCAATGGTTTTAACCTGTTTTATACCACAAGGATAGCTCCTTTCTGAATATAGATTTTTTGAGAATTTTCCTTGCAGAATTAAATCTTGCCAAGAAGAAAGCTCTACGTTAGTGGGGATCATAGATGATGTAAATATATGGTGGCCTGGCCAAATGAAGATAGAATCCCTAACCCTAATGGAGAGTAAGAGTTATTAGCTGCACTACTGAGTTTTTGGAATTCAGTCTCTAGAAATCTGTGTTTGATTGTTTAAAATGCTTCTAGCGGTGGGAGTATAAGCAGTGAATCAAATGATAGACCAATAGTTTAAACTTTATTCTTGATACAAGCTAACCATTTAGAGTGATGGGATTCCAAACTTCATATGAAAAATTAAAGAAGAGGGGGTCACACTTGAAATGGAGGCATAGGCAGATTTTTATTGCAATGAGCTACACTCTATAGTTTCCATAAGCCCTTTCCATATTTCAAGCACATGGCTGCATATGGAACACAGTTTGGCATACCCAATATTTTAGAAAGGAATTTTGAGTTGGGTGCATTCCACTGAGTGGTAAGCTGCACCAATCCATTATGGTATGCCGTACAGTAGCTTTAGACTTACTTTGGCATTAAAAAACTTTAGTGCAGCAGGAACATACTGGTTTCCTCTATTGCTAGTTGATAGCCAAAGCACTGGTATATGCTGCACTTAATGCTAACTTGCAATGTTTTTCCCCAAGAGGCATTATATTGGAAATGAATGCCTAAGTATTTCCTTTTTTGAACTTGTTCCAATGTGTTACCGTTAACTTCCCACCTATGTGGCTTCCAGGACCTTGGAAAAATGAGCATTTGCATTTCACAAAGTTCAATACCTGACTGCAGAGTTTCTGCAATTACCGTATTTCTTGCTCTATAAGACTCAATTTTTCCCTCCTAAAAAGTAAGGGGAAATGTGTGTGCGTCTTATGGAGCAAATGCAGGCTGCGCAGCTATCCCAGAAGCTAGAACAGCAAGAGGGATCGCTGCTTTTGCTGCGCAGCGATCCCTCTTGCTGTTCTGGCTTCTGGGATTCAGAATATTTTTTTTCTTGTTTTCCTCCTCCAAAAACTAGGTGCGTCTTGTAGTCTGGTGCGTCTTATAGAGCGAAAAATACGGTAATTCAGAAAAGCCTCAAGAAGCTATTGAAGCATATGAAAATCTAATCTAAACTTATAACATAAAGGGAGACTTAAACATATTTTTGGTAAATACAGACTGTAGGTTTCCCTTCCTTGGCTTCCTCTGTGGTGCCAAGGGCAAGGCATTTCTGAGGGGCATTCTGGAAAAAAATCTGGCAGCCACCAACCAATCGGAACTATGAGTAAACCCCACTAAGTTCTGCATCTCAGGGCCTACTAGTCCCAATAGCGATATGCTCTCTTAAAGATAAGAGGAAATGTGTTTCTGAATGAATACCTGTTGCTCAGAGACAACAGCAGGAGGGTGCTGTTGCATTACTGTTGTCTCTGAGCTTTGCACCATTGGTCACTGTGAAAAACAAAGATGCACCAGATGAGCCTTTGATAGTCTCTGCTCTCCAACAATTGGGCAAAAGCATACCTGTCAATCATATTTCCTTATACAGAAGAAAAGTATTTAGATATTAATCCATTTCTGATCTGTCTGTTACTGTTCTTTGATTTCAGAATGTCTCCCCTTGGTACTGTGGGTTAACAATAGTCTCCCATACCAACTGGAAACTTGATTTAGGTTTTCAGGGAGCAAAATAAGTCCCTAGAGCTAAGCCAGTTTTTGTTTTATAATCTTTAGAGCTGCTGAGTGCCTGGTAATCATATGCGAACCCTACACAATATTGAAAATGGCTGCTCTGCTATTATTAAAGTCCGCAATTATTTGGAAACAGGATTTTAAGATGACAAGTTCCAGAAATATGCTGGGGTGGCTGGGAGGGGAGATCACCATTTGACTCATCGAATGCATCGTATAAAATTGAAGCAGATATCATTAATGTGGTAACCTTCTTGCCATGCATTTCTCCCCATGTATTTGTGTGCTACTTGATACACACAAATAGCAAGGAAAATAATTGTTTCATGTTACTTTTGCTTATAGTTAGCAGATGATGTCACAAGCACCCACCAAGGTTTTTTTTGTTTGATTGAAAACTGCTTTGCAGTAAGAATTTTATGCAGCTTGGAATTGTATCCTTTCCCTACATGCCTGGAATTGCACTTCATCGTCTTATGTACCATTACCGTGGTAGTATAAATAAGTTTTTGCTTATGCCTTGTATTTAAATTGGAATGCTCAAGGCTCATTCTAAAAACAAAGTGTTGTGCCTAAATTTGCATTTGCTCTCATGGTTGTCTTTGTCGTTTTGTGTGCTGGAGTACAATAAATTTTAAATATTAAGAGAAGACAATTCAGATTGCTTTCATTGCATCGTGCATAAGTTGCAGAATCAAATTTCTTTCACTGCATGTTCAGTTTCACTGTTAAAATACTTTGCTGTAGCCTGTTGCCTTAGCTGATTTACTTCATGTTAACCTTGAGTACAGTTCAGATGTGTTTCTTTTCCATTATCTCCTGTTCCTTTTTCCCCATCCTACCTTTCGATTAGTTGCCAACATTTATTCGTTTTCTATTAAACTAGTAAAAGAGAGGATTATGGCACATGGTGAAGCAGGTTGGAATAGATGGAACTTACTTTAGTTATACGACCCCCCCAAACACCGCTTTTAATGAAAGGGCTTGTGTTTTTATTATAATTATTGGTATAGTTTTAATAGTTTTTCTATATGTATATATTTTTGATTTTATCAGTGTTTAATTGTTTTTAAATTGTTGTTTTTCTGTGTTTTTAGTTCTTATTTTTACCTGTAAGCTGCCTTGAGTCTCTTCAGGGAGAAAAGGTGGGGTAAAAATAAAAAGAATATTAATAATTTGTGCCTGCTCATCTGCTAGTTCTGTAGCTGAGAACCTTATTTCTGTGCCAGGAGTTTGGTTTGATGAGAGAAGATAAAAACTGCCTAGGTAATTGGTGATTGAGGCTATTCTAACAAATGCAACAAAACCTGCTCTTGAGCTATTGAAAAAGGATTCAAAACAAGTTATTCAAACTATAGTTACCCTAGTGGTCTGGGGCATGAGGGTTTAATGGAGGAAAAACTTATTGTCCCTTCTCTATTGTTTGCCTTTCAAATTTTTGCCCCCCCCCAAAAAAAATCACTTCAATTTGAAAGAGTTCTAATTGACACTCTAAATCAGACCCCCCCAAACTCGGGCCTCCAGCTGTTTTGGGACTACGATTCCCATCACCCCTGACCACTGGTCCCGTTAGCTAGGGATGATGGGAGTTGTAGTCCCAAAACATCTATAGGGCTGAGTTTGGGGGTGCCCACTCTAAATAGTGGAGGCTGTTTTGAAGAATCACAGCATTTGCTAGATGAAAAAGAACTTTCCCCCATCAGTTTGCTGGGTAAGCTGCACCCTAAAGCCTGAAGTCATATGCTTGCACGTGCAGAAAACAAACAGGTATGCACAGGCTCCCGTGATGCATAGGTGAAACTTTTCAGGTTAACAAATAGAAAATAACAATGCAAGGTATTATATTTTTCAAGGGTTTAACAAGACTTACTGACAGTTTAGGAACAAGAATGCCAAACCAATAAAAACTAGTGTCCTTTTGAGGTAGCTGTGAAAAATATAAACAATGCCCCAGAGAGGCAGCTATTCCAGTATTAGAAAAGGAGAGCTGACGTGCTTATCAGTAAGTATGCGGTTGTTGCATACAATTTGGAGGACTGAGAAAATTAAATGCATTTTAAGTTTCATTTGATCCCATTTTCCCCCCCTAAGAAACCCATGAATTTATGTTAAATTTATCTTGGCTTATGAAAAGAGATGTAATGACTTCTGCTAACAAGATAAAAGAGAAGCCAGCACTTAATTTCCTAGGTGATACACAAAATAAAATGATTTGCATGCCTCCAAAAGATTATGCACAACCTTGTTAAATGCAGTACAATACAAATGAAGAACAAATGAGCTACCCAGATAGGATGCATTTTTGTAACTCAGGGCTGCTGTCTGCAGAATTCCAATAGAGAGTGAATCAAGAGGCACTTGTTCTTTCCAGTGGCTCTCAGGTTTTTGATAATCATTGCTGGCAAGATGATGTATCCAAGCATACATTGATAATCCCCCTCTGTGTTTTTTATAGTTATGGTACATTTTGGTGGACGATGCTTATTTGCTAAACTCTAAGTCTTATTTTCCATTGACATACATATTTTTATTTCCTTTGATTGCCAGAGAACATGCAACGTACATATATATACTCAAGTCACTTTAACAAGAGATGTTCCCAATAATTGGAAAATTCCTACTTTTAAAGTGTTCTACATGCAAATAAGCTGTGGTGGTTCCAGAGGGTGATTTTGCAATTAGGCTAATCTTGTAATGAGTGATTAGGTGAGCGACAGCACTCTGCTTGAAAATGGTGTATATTGACTGTTGGAGCCCTGTAATGAAGCGTGGAAAGCTCTATGCCCAGTGTTCTCTGGTAGAATTGTCAGTCACTGGCACATCATGGCTGAAGCAGTTTATTGAGTATGACTGCCAAATCTTACACAGGTGCCGGATTAATTTTGATGTATCGCACTTAGAGCAATGGCTTTGGACAGTTACTTTGCAGTGTGTTTGCTGGAAAACCATTGAAGGGAATTTTTTGAACAATTGGACTAAAATAGCCATGCTACTGTAAATAATCTCCTGCAATGCTTTACAATCTCTGTAATGAGAAATTAATGCTTTTGAATTGTAACATATTTCTACTATAAAACTAATTTCTGCTGTCTGTTCAGAAAGGCATTTCCTAGGCACAAGCTGCAAAGGGCTGCACATTGCTTTACTGGCATTCCTTGGTATCACAGTACCAGAGGGGCAGAAATTAAGTGGCTTATGTCATGAACAGAAACATTCTGGAATGACATGACATACACAAGGCACGAGTAGGCGGACCGCATTTCATAATGTGTACTTTGCTTTGTGCAGTTTTCCTACTAGTGCCCCTACCTTATACTATGTCCCCATCTCATATCAAGGTAGATAGAATATCTGCTTAACACAAACAGGAAGAGGACTGCTGAAAGATCTGTGTAGCCCCTTTTTAAATGCAAAAGTATCCCAACCACACTGTGCTCTTTTCTGGGGAATACTCAGGTAGCAAAATGCTAGGTGGCTTTTGTGGGGGTGCTTCAGATTTGAGTAACGTATGAATACACAAATAGACAGCTTGAGTTAGCAAAACACTAACATAGTGAAGTGATTCCCTTTTATGAGGAAAGGGCTTTGTGAGATTGGGACATTGCAACAGATATGATTTAGAGCAACCTTGGGGGGGGGGGAATGGTACGTGTTGAAACTCGACCAAAGTCCTGGAGTTAAATTGTGAGGAGAAAATGACGACAGTTACTGGTAGTTGCCTGGTAAAATTAGATTAATACTTAACCCAAGGCAATCAACAGGGGCACCTGCCTCATCAGGAGTCGATATAGTGCATGGAGTCAGTATAGTGCGTGTGGAAGGGGGAAAAGTCAGATACAGCTTTTGCAGAACAAGGCTACAGTGGTACCTCGGGTTAAGTACTTAATTTGTTCCGAAGGTCTGTTCTTAACCTGAAACTGTTCTTAACCTGAAGCACCACTTTAGCTAATGGGGCCTCCCGCTGCCACTGCGCTGCCAGAGCATGATTTCTGTTCTCATCCTGAAACAAAGTTCTTAACCTGAAGCACTATTTCTGGGTTAGCGGAGTCTGTAACCTGAAGGGTATGTAACCTGAGGTACCACTGTATAGGCAACTACAAATTTATGCCCAATTGGTGCACTATTGCGTATTCATATATCGCCACAACCCAGAAGTGGACAGAAAAGGGGATGGAATGGGGGCGGAGTGAGATTATGCATGCGGGGGACAGGAAATTCAACCGCTGCACAAAACAGTTTTTGCCTGTATTTTCCTTTGCAGACTCTGATGGGGGGCAGGGAGCAAGAGGGCACAAGTGCCCTGGTTGGCAGGTTAGCAGGGTGGCAAACTGCATCCTGCCCTGACAGTAACATGGCTTGTGGGGGAAAGCCATGCTTGGTGACTCCCCAGTTCGGACAGTCACCTCTTCTAATAAGCAGAACTCAGCTGGAACATAAAGGAGGAATTTCCAAGCGTATGCTGTGGCGGCATTCCTTTCTATTTTTCTCATGCCGTGTCATCAGGCCATCATTAGCTTGGCAGTGAAACAGTGGTGGCTGGCTTGCTGAGTTAGCAGCGATGAGGCCAGGGAAAGTGAGGTGAGGCTAGCTGTGCATCACTGCTTGTGGGCAGGAGCCATCGGTGCCAACAGTCAAGATGGTGCCTGGCTGGGGCTTTGCAGGGGAGGAGAGGAGGAGGCAGCCCTGGCACCGCGTTGGCCATGTCAGGCAGTGACTGGTGATTTGCTAGATGCATTTCTGAACCCAGTTAGAGAGGCTGAGAGCAGGTGCTGCAAACTTGAATGCTACACTGGCAGTGCTGTTCTTCTAGCTGACGCTCCTCTGCTTTCTCGCCTGGCAGGCTCAGGCTTATGCTGCTGCTGTTGCTGTGTTTTTTTTCTTGTTTAGCAATCTGCAAGAGTTCCATGAGGCATAGTTTTGGTGAGGGTAGGGCAAATGAGAAGCTGCCCCCCCCGAATCATTGGCAGAGATTTCGGGGGGGGGGGGAGCTTAATTCAAATTATTTGTTAATTTTTCAAAAATACCACTTCAGATTAAATTATTTGGCAGCTTATAGTTTAGGAGCCACTTCTGTATAAAGAAAACGCATCAGCACTTTTAAAAGGATGCTTCACATTGTGAGTGGCAATTAAGTACTGCCACTAAAAAGGACACCCTCCCAAGAGAGTTCACAATTGGAGAGCAGCAGTGCAGACTCCCCCCCCCCCCAGCAAAATTTGTAAATCTGGCACTATTCCTCTGTAGCACTAACACTAGCTCAAGCTGGAAGCATAAACATGGTTGCATGTGGAAAAGCCTGTTGGTTTACTTTTTGTAATTTCTGTTTGTATCCAACAGTAGAAAAAACATCATATGTTACGTGCTTCAGAAATTATGAGCTCTATAATTAACTTTAAAATGACAAACCCTATCAGCAGACTTGCAGTCTTAAAAAGGAAGAACAGACAGAGATCAAAGGTTGAAGAATTTGGGAGCAAAGATATTACACACTGTTTAGAAACATGAAAGGACGGAGAGGGTTGGCAGTGAGAGAGATTTGGAAGTTGGCTAGGAGAACGAATTCCAAAGAGAAAGAGAAGGTCTAGAATGCATGAAATGGAAGAAGTAATTCAAGGTTAAGCAGAGAAGACTATTTGTAGAGTGGAGAAGACAAGAAAGCAAGTAAAGAGAAGAGAAGAAAGACTATTAAAGAGGCAATGAGTGAAGAGATGGGAAAACAAAGTAGTAACTTCCCTGGCTCCTGTTAGATCCAGTTGAAGGGAGTGCAAGAGAGGAGAAGCATGGGCAAAACATGGGTGGACCAAACAAATGGGCAGCAGAATTGAAAACAGGAAAGGAGAAAAAAGAAATCCAGAAGAGAGACAATTACAGTAATCAATCTGGGAAAGAATTAAGAGAAAAGACTAATGTCTTTGCAATTTTCCAATTAACCTGAGGGCCACTTCGGCATTTTGCTCTTAACCACAAAAAGGCATGCTTGTCACTTTTATCTTGTGAACCGCCCTGAGATCTTTTGATGAAAGGTGGCATATAAATCTGGAAATTAAATTAAATAAACCCATTCTCTGCTAACTCCTTTTTCTCTGCACATACCAAAGCATGCTCTCATCTTGTATATCCCTCATTTTCTTTCCCCATACCAGACTTTATTCTCAGCAACTCTCTCAAAAGCACACAAGTCTTTAACTCTCACAGCATTTCAAAGGACATCTCAAACAGAGGTAGGCAGTGAAGTATAGCTATGTGGTTGAAGCAGAATTGAAAAACTGGAGCCATCTCTGCCCACACCTTTGAATTTAGAGAAGGAAGAAGCAGTGCACACCACAACGCAGCCCTTTGGCAGCCCCTTTTTAAACAAATTCATCCACAGGGCTGCAGGCCTTACGTTGTACAAACTTGCAACAGAGGGAGAAGAGAGCAAAGGACTTCTTAGCAATTGTAGCAAAACCAACCAGGGGAGTATCCAACTAATGTGTCTCACTGGTGCAAGGATTAACACTTTGACAAAAGAGCTTTCCCCTCTCTCCTCACCCCTCATCCTTTCTCTTTCCTCAGAAAGATAATAATGAAAGCAAGAAAATGTATGTCCACCAAATTCCAAAGAAGAAATAGTAGAATAATCAACATTGCTAAAAGGTAAAGACAAGTAAAAGGTAAAGGTAAAGGTACCCCTGACCGTTAGGTCCAGTCGCGGACGACTCTGGGGTTGTGCACTCATCTCGCTCTGTAGGCCGAGGGAGCCGGCGTTTGTCTGCAGACAGCTTCCGTGTCATGCGGCCAGCATGACTAAGCCGCTTCTGGCGAAACCAGAGCAGCGCACAGAAATGCCGTTTACCTTCCTGCCAGAGCGGTACCTATTTATTTACTTGCACTTTGACGTGCTTTTGAACTGCTAGGCAGGAGCTGGGACCGAGCAGAGGGCCAAAAATTGACCAGGTGATACAGCACTAAAATGGGAGGAGCAACAAACAGATTCAGTGAAATGCCAATGATACAAACCAGATGATGCACTTCTCCTTAACCCAACAGTATTCCAGCCCCTTCTGTTTTAGTTTACTTCATTTCCAAAAAGTGATAGAGGGTGTATGTTTTATAAAAATGTTATTGAAGTTCAGAGAATTGCTGTGGAGGATTGTATTGTTGTGCATTGTTTTCTACTGCTCCCCCCTTCCCCCATAATGGTTTTCAAAAGTGCTCACATGGACAAGCTCTTAACTTCCACTTTATTCTTGTTAATTACTGTGAGATGGGTACGCTGCTTGTCACACACATTTAACCACACCAGTCGAAGGCACATTTCTCTTCAGCACTGCTGTTGCTTCTGAGCTCTAGTTTCCTAGGTAGAGCTTGATAAGCTACCAAGCCTTGCAAAACTAGTTTGTCCAGAGACGATTGTGAGTCAGAAAAAATGAATATGTATGTAATGGGGCACCAATGGCTTTTACAATGCCACTTCTATGCCTTCATAAAGCTATTTCTGAATATATCCATAGTGTCTAAGCAGGGAATATGAGCTCCCTTCCTGCTTCACTTTTCTTTTCTTTTTTTGCCATCCATCTCTCCTTTCATTGGAGGGCTGTGGCAGTACTTGGTGGTTGCTTCTGGGATCTTTTTGCTTAATATTTCTAGTGGCATGTATTTGCTTTTGTTACAATAGATAAACTCTAGAAATGCAATAGAACGTTTACGAAATGAAAAGCTTTTATCCTGTTGCCTGCAGTTCGTCAAGGCTTTGGGGAAATGAATGCATGCGACTATGAAGCAACCTCACTGTGAACAGCCTGGTGCAAGCTTTTTCATTCTCATTCCCATTCCCATTTCCTGCCTCCTGTCTGCTTCCTTGCTGTTCCTTGAAAATAGAGCAGTTCTATTTCCCAGATGACCACTGGAATAAAAAGAAACAAAAAAAAAACCCAACCCCAAGGCACTAAGACAAACAGTTCTTCTTTTTGAACGAATTGTGTTGTCATTTTCTCTCGCTTTTAACTGCTATCTGTAGTATAAGATATGACACAGTAAATCAATGCAGGATTTCTTTTCTCTGATGCATATTATATGTATCTCACTTACAAGGATGGGATAATTAGAAGATGAATTTTCTTTTTGTCATGGACAGTGATGGATCAAAAAGAATCCTTTAACATTAATTTTATTGCCTTCTATAACAGAGATATTAATGCCAAGATTCTAATTCAGGCCCTTGAGAACCAAATTGCTTCGTTAAAAAGGAAAAAAAGAAAAAGAAAATTGTGTAGGCTATATAAGTGCTGTGGTGCTATCCTTTTCATGTCATACAATGAAATCAAGGGGGGAAAGGATTGCATTTAAAGTCATGTCCACACTCAGTACATGTAATAACTTCATCCTATTTGATTTGCCTCAGGCAGGGAAATCCCAAGAAAAAGGGGGCAAAAAAGAAAGAGTTGTGGTATGTTGGGAGTGCCTTTCTTTCAACTAATTCAACACAACTAATTTGAGTATTCACATTCTGTTGAATACATTATAATATTTAAAATTTCCCATGGTTTGACACTGAGCCAGTTTGCACACCACACAGCACTAAGCCAAAAAGATGGTTTAACATGAACATGCAAGCACAGACTCCCAGAGGGAAGATTGCAACCACTTTGCTTCTCCTGCTTATTTTGGCATAGTGTGTTTTCTGAATCTGGGCTTATAGTTTAATGGTAAAGGTAAAGGACCCCTTACAGTTAAGTCCAGTTGCGAACGGCTCTGGGGTTGCGGTGCTCATCTCGCTCTATAGGCCGAGGGAGCCGGCGTTTGTCCGCAGACAGCTTCCGGGTCATGTGGCCAGCATGACTAAGCCGCTTCTGGAGAACCAGAGCAGCGCATGGAAATGCCGTTTACCTTCCTGCTGGAGCGGTACCTATTTATCTACTTGCACTTTGACGTGCTTTCGAACTGCTAGGTGGGCAGGAGCTGGGACCAAGCAACAGGAGCTCACCCCGTTGCAGGGATTCGAACCGCCAACCTTCTGATCGGCAAGCCCAAGGCTCAGTGGTTTAGACCACAGCGCCACCCACGTCCCGGGGTTTATAGTTTTCCTCTCTCCAAATGAACCATGGTCTATAACCAAGGTTTGCTCTGTGCCTTACAGCTTGTGGGAGAGTTGAACAATGAACTGGGGTTCAGACACACTAAATCATAGTGCAGCAGCAAAACAACCAGAGAGGAGCAAAGTGGCAGTGATCTCCTTTGTGGGAGCCAACACATTTTGCGTGTTCATACTAAGCTATGGTTTGTTCCATATAGGTCCCCTGCAGTAGCTCCCTAAGAAGAGGTGTCAGGACTCAAGCCCAGTATCTTGAACTGAGGAATGTCGGGCACAGACATGGCTAAAGTAGGGAAATACTAGAAACTTCAGACCATCACAGAAGCCATTTGAACAGCAATTTTCAGAGGCGTAGCCATATAGTTCGTTGCACAAAAACCAATAAAGAATAATGTTGCTGAACTCCAACTCCATCCATTGGACATGTTTACTGAACTTCAACTTCCATCTGTGCCAGCAAGCATGGCCAATGGATGAAGTTGTGAGTTGAGCAGCACCCAGAGGGCAAAAGGTCCCCTACACCTGATTTATAGGAATAAATCATACTCATTGTTCCCTCTCTATGACCCTCAGCTGCACAAGGTACATGGAGTAGCAGGGCATCTTTGGATCTACTTTAAGGGAGAGTATGTATCTAGTGGTTTTTTTCTTCTACATGCAGATGTAGGAGCAGCTGTGCATAGAAGGTCAACAATCATAGAGAGAACAGGTCAGAATTGGCCCCATCCCTAAAGTTAGCATGACCATTGCTCCCAGAGTTCACAGGAAGTATTGTTCCTTTGTTCCCCCAAAAGCAGGTTGGAACGGCAGGCACTGGATGAACACCAAGGGTTCCTTTGGAGGACACATAATGCTTTGCAGCTGCTATAGGGCACTTTTTGTCATTTAGCATAAAGTGTAGCAATAGTCATTACTGTAGCGGGACACAGAGACAAGGTAATGGCAGAGGAGATTTCTGTGTGACACATGGTACATGCACCAGGTTACTACTACTTTTGTCCATTACTTGAAAAAAACTGACCTTTTAATGTGTTATTCCTAAGCAGTTGTCTTTATTGTTACAATTTGCTAATAAGTTCAGAACTCACACTAAAGTACAAAGTAGTTAAATAGTTAGGCTTATCAACCTGAAAGATGCATTGTCTCAGCTGCCAAGACTGATTACCTTCTGCCTTTTACGCAATGAGCAAAATATTCAGCTGTGTCGTTAATGAGGAATCATTAGCAATCTGAACAAGCAGATGTGATCTTAGCTATTAGTTCTCAAATCACCTCCTTTTAATCAGCTTGAACACTCATGTTCAGGTTAGACTAAGAGGTCTCTCTTGCAAACCTTAAATAGTATTACAGCCTAAAATGTGATCAACTCTGGATGCAAACTTTAGAGAACCTCCTGTCTACATGGCCCTCATTTGCACGTATATGAGATACCTGTTCAAAGAATGGTGTAGATTGGTGGTAGACCCACTGTAGAATCCCATCTTGAACAGCAACCTGGATGTTGCAGAAGATATGCGCTCTGCAGTGATTCATTCTTTATGTCAGTAAACCTCAGTGTTTGAGGACAGATGCTTAGCTGAGAGAAGATACACACTGAGAATTTTGGGATGACTACAAGTCATTTCCAGTGGTCTGTACATAATGCTAATCCCTAGTTAAATTAGGATTTATTAATATATATTTTTGTTACAAAATAATCATCTTTGTTTTCTATGGTAAAAATTATATTAAATGGAGATGACTTAGACAATAGGTATCTTCAACTTTTTAGCTCCAACTCTCAGGCCACTTTGAACTTGTATCCAATGCTCCCCCCACATATATCATTTAAGAACTCCTACCTTAATTATCTACTTTTTGTCTTCATTTTATTCCTCACCACCAAATATGCTAGTTTTGATGGAGACTTACTTTGTTATCTGCTTTTTACTTCATGATTATAGAACAGTTCGGATAAAATGTCAGTGCTAAGGATTAAATAAACAGAGGGAATTTTTTTTTTAAAAAAAGGAAATAACCAGTCTTCATCTCATTTGAGCATGAAGAATTACATTATTAAGTCCTAATGTTTCCAAAGCAAATAGTTATGGTACTGACAGTAGTATATTTGGTGCAAAGAACGCTAGAATTTTCTGCATACCATTTTTCTGACCCAAACTGCTGGTGTGTCTGTCATGGCTATTTGCTTGTAATATGTGCTACTCCGTCAATGGTGTTTCCATCTTATCTTTTGTCTGTTACAAAAACTCAGTTCAGTAACTGAGGCATGGCTTGGTTGCCAAGGTTATTTCAAAGTCTCAAGCTTACCAGTCACATGACCATTTACCTGGAAAATGACTTAAAAGCACAATTAGACCACTATATAAGCTTTTAAGTATGGGCTCAGTTAGCCAACAGAAATTTTTTTAGTCACAGATATTTTGTTAGATTAATGAAAACCGGAGTAGGCTGAAATGCAGAACTCCACATTTGTTTTACTATGTTGTTGTAGTTTAATGTGGTTTTTGAATAAAATAAAGTTGTCCTATTATTTAAATACTGATAACAAGATACAGTCATACCTCGTGTTACATCCACTTCAGATTGCGTGTTCTTGTCTTGTGTCCCACGGCAACCTGGATGTACCGGAATAGGTTACTTCCAGGTTTCGCCGCATGCACAGAAGCGCTAAATCGTGCTTTGCTCATGCGCAGAAGCACCAAATAGCGCCGCATGCCTGTGCAGATGCGGCGCTTTGAGTTGCAGGCTTTTTATGTTATGGACGGGCCTCCGGAACGGATCCCGTCCGTAACACAAGGTACCACTGTATTTATCTTTTCATAATTGATCTCCATTCCACACTACACCCACCCAGTTTCAGATTTATGCTAACCTGGGGGAAGAAAGTACCTTGGGGAATCTCTTTTTCATTCTGATTGTGGTAATAAGTGTACAGAATCTCCACAGTAGAATTTTTATGATATACAGTACCAGGAAGGTTTTCTTTTTCTGTGTGATGTCCAGTCATTCTCTCATTGGAAGTGTTTTTGTAGCAGACCAGTGTGGGGATTTCCAAAACTTCCTTTCAAGCCCATCTTCAGATACTTCAACCAGTGTAACCAGCATAAATAATTGCTGCTACATCCTGATGTTCACTTACTCCTTGCCCATCCTGCATTGCTATAGACCAGAGATGAGGAACCTGTGGCCCTCCAGATGCTGTCTGGGTCTGACTGGAGTTGAAGTCCAGCGACCTCTGGACGACCACATGTTCTCCACCACTGATTTAGGCTCAATTTCTCCCAATTGTGACTGCTTCCTCTTTCTGCCCAGTCAGGCTTATGGTGCTACAGAAAGACTAACCTGTCACCCGCTGTTCCCTCCCCTTCTTGCTTGTCCCCCAGCTTTCCCATTGAATACATAGTCTGGTTGACTGTTTTTTGGTGTGTGCTACTGATATCTCCTATACTATCCAGGGCAGGACTTCAGGGAGTGAATGTTTTGCTTTATGATTCTGCAAAGAACATAATTTTTCCAGTTGGAAAAATACATTTTGTTAGTAATTGATCTAGGATATTAAGCAGTATCGGTCTATAGCAAGAAATCTGACTACTTCAGCCAATCGTGATTTCCTGCCTCCTCGCTGTGTCTTATATCTCAGTTCCAAGGCTGCCTGTCGTCATTGATCATTTTCGTTTGGTGATGACCTTAACTATTCTGTAGAGAAAGGTTCTAAACTCCAGAAATGAGCCTTGATCAAGCTTTTCTGGGTGGATTTATGGGAGGTTTTCACCATGACACATGGAAAATGACATTATGAGCCTGTAATCAAAATCTTTTCTATGTAGGAAGGTCAAATCAGTCACAATGAAACATAGTTTTCAGGGGGGGAAATGCAGTTATGAAAAGCAAGTTTAACTTGAGTATGTTATTGGGATGAATTAGTGTTGCCCCCTCCCCCAAGGGATTTCAGTTCCCAACATCAACATTGGCATCATCTATATACGCATCTCTTAATTCAAGCCATGCATTACTATGACTTTCCCACTTTGAATTATTTAGCTGAAATTAAATTTAAATTCCTCAAACACAACTTGTATTTTTTTCTTCAGCAGTCAATTAATAGTTTGAATACAAAATAGTACATCTCCTAAAAACACGTCTAATTGTTTTTAGAGACCAAGTATAGGTCTCTATAATTACACGAGTAATTATACAATATGTCAACAAATACTTTAAAAAAAGTTATTTTATAGAGTTTTGTACAATCTAAATGGCACAGTAAGGAGTAACAATAACAACAAAACAATTACAAGTCTATTGTGATTTGTTCCATAAACTAATACATACATAGAGAAGGCAAAAACAAAGAGTATAAATGAAGTTGGAATCACATTAGTTTATCAAATTTCTCCAGAAATATGTACCGTATTTTTTGCACCATAACACTCACTTTTTTCCTCCTAGAAAGTAAGGGGAAATGTCTGTGCGTGTTATGGAGGGAATGCCTACGGGTGGCATGCCTACGGATTTTCCTCCTCTAAAAACTACGTGCGTGTTATGGTCGGGTGAGATCTGCAGATGAATTGATAAATTTGTAAATGCATCAAATTGAGCCTGTGTCTTGGCTGATGTGACAACTCCTATTCTGAATTACGTTATGTTGTTGCTGTTGCTTTGTGGTAGCCTTCAGAAGAGCCTGCAGAAGTCTGGTGTAGCAGCATGCAAACAATTTTTCTCAGGAAGAGAGTCTGAGGAACTGAGGAAAATAGTGGTCTCAAGAGATGAATTTCTAGGCCTTATTGACAAATTAAGAACAAACTAATCATTGGATCCAGATGGTATTCATCCGAGAGTTGCTAAAGAACTCAAATGTGGAATTGCTGATTTTCTAATATATAAAACTGGTCCTGCAGATCAGCAGTCATGTGTGTGCACACTTCCCTATGCAGACACACATATGACTAACCATTGGGATGGGCAGAGAGCAGATCGAAGATAAAAAATTCAGAAGTCTTTCTTCCCACCACAGTACTGCCACCGCCACCCTTCTGTCGCTCTGGCAGGGAAGTGGTGCAGAGAAGCAAGTGAAAAAGTTAAAAGGTTCTCCTCTCAGCCCAACACTGCCCCCTTGAGTCGCTGGCTTGGAGAAGAGCCAGTAAATTGGCTCAGGGGGCTGGTGGGCCATTGAAAGCAGTTTGATGAGCCCATTCTAGTTTGGGGGCCATGGCCTTGCCACCCCTGGTTCAAAGCTTTTTCCTCTGCTTTCAGAACAGCTTACAAAAATGTTGCCTGTATCATCCATAGATTTTCCTTCCCACTGAGCTAGGACCCGAAGACCTGCCAGTTAGTTCAGTGATGCCTCCTCCCAGATATGTTTGCATTGGATCAAATGAGAAAACTATGAACCTCAAGCCAAGGTGAACCTCAGACATTGCATCACATTACAGTGGCAGCACCCAAGCAGTACGAGTGTCAAAATTTAGCAAGACTTAGTGAGAATTCTGTGCTCACCGCTGAATCTTTCCATTAATACCAAGGTTGAAATCAAACAACACAGTTCATCTAAAGTCCTGAAAGAACAACTGGGTTGTTTTTTAAAAAATAATATTCATTACTTTTCCAAAAAATTTAAACACTACAAAAAAAACCAGAAAAAAACCAATACAATACAATACATTAAACTAACCAAACAAAACAAAAAACAATAAAATAAATCAAACAATTGCATTATCCCATCTTTCATTCACTTATTTCCACGACCTCCTCACACCTCCCTTTTTGTATTCCACTTCTGTTAATTATTTCAGCAATTCCTTTCCATCTTCCTCTGTTTCCTATCCTATAATTATCTTAACTTATTCTAACCTTATTTTTTCCTTTAATACTCTATTAATCTATTTATACTTAATTCCTTACAACATTTCTGCTAAAGCCATGTAAGTTCATTCCAACATTTTTCTAACATTCATTGATTTTACAGTATTTCTGTAAATAATCTTTAAATTTTTTCCAATCTTCTTCCACCGACTCTTCTCCCTGGTCTCGGATTCTGCCAGTCATTTCCGCCAATTCCATATAGTCCATCAACTTCATCTGCCATTCTTCCCGGGTGGGTAAATCTTGTGTCTTCCAATATTTTGCGATGAGTATCCTTGCTGCTGTTGTTGCATACATAAAGAAAGTTCTATCCTTCTTTGACACCAATTGGCCGACCATGCCCAGGAGAAAGGCCTCTGGTTTCTTCAGGAAGGTATATTTGAATACCTTTTTCATTTCGTTATAAATCATCTCCCAGAATGTCTTAATCCTTGGGCATGTCCACCAAAGGTGAAAGAATGTGCCTTCAGTCTCGTTACATTTCCAACATTTATTATCGGGCAAATGGTAGATTTTTGCAAGCTTGACTGGTGTCATGTACCACCTATAAATCATTTTCATTCAGTTTTCTCTTAGGGCATTACATGCCGTAAATTTCATACCTGTGGTCCATAACTGTTCCCAGTCAGCCATCATTATGTTATGTCCAACATCTTGTGCCCATTTAATCATTGCTGATTTCACCGTTTCATCCTGAGTATTCCATTTCAACAGCAAGTTACACATTTTTGACAAATTCTTAATTTTGGAGTCTAACAATTCTGTTTCCAATTTTGATTTTTCCACCTGGAAACCAACTTTTTTGTCCAAATTGTATGCCTCCATTATTTGATAATAATGGAGCCAATCTCGCACTTTATTTTTCAATTTTTCAAAGCTCTGCAATTTTATTCTGTCTCCACCTTGATCCAGAATTTCCCAATATTTCGGCCATTTGGCCTCCATATTGAGTTTTTTCTGTGCCTTCGCTTCCATTGGAGACAACCATCTTGGGGTTCTCTTTTCTAACAAATCTTTATATCTTATCCAAACATTGAACAGTGCTTTTCTAACAATATGATTTTTGAACGCTTTATGTGCTTTTACCTTATCGTACCACAAATATGCATGCCAACCAAATACGTTATTGAAACCTTCTAAATCCAACACGTCAGTGTTTTCAAGAAGCAGCCATTCTCTCAGCCAGCAAAAAGCTGCTGATTCATAATAAAGTTTGAGGTCTGGCAGGGCAAATCCACCTTTTTCTTTAGGATCAGTTAATATCTTAAATTTTATTCGAGGCTTCTTGCCCTGCCAAACAAATCTGGAAATATCTTTCTGCCACTTCTTGAAACAATCCATCTTGTCCAAAATTTGTAGTGTTTGAAACAGAAACAACATCCTTGGCAGCACATTCATTTTTATCACAGCAATTCGGCCTAACAATGATAACTTCAAATTTGACCATATTTCTAAATCCTTTTTCACTTCTATCCAACATTTTTCATAATTATCCTTAAATAGATTCACATTTTTGGCAGTCATGTTAACCCCTAAATATTTAAGAACAACTGGGTTTAAACCAAATGTTGGAAGATCAATAACGGTATAGCAGTACAAGTCTCCATGGGGAGTGATTTGGCTCCTAGAAGCTGTCAACATGTTACAGCAGCTACACCCCAGGAAACAGCTTCAATTGGCCAACTAAACCAGGTGATGGTTCTCAAATCCTCAATCTGCCACAGACTTCCCCTCCATGCGAAGGCAGGCTCTGGCAGATTGAGGAGTTGAGATCAATAGTGGGTCCATTGTTCAGAAGGTGGTTTCTGCACGTGCTGTAGATGAAAATGAGCGGCAGATGGAGCTTGCCAGTCTGGGAAGCTAGCCCTTCTAGGAGAAGGAAAACTCTGATCCTAAACCTCCTCTGCCTTGTGGCTATATTCATTTGTGAGAAAGGCTTCAGGAGTAAACTCCTGCAACTTCTGCAGCCAAGCTGGCATCAAATGTTTTGACCTTCTTTCCTTTGGACCACATTAGCTGGCCGAGAGGGGGGGGGGTCTTGTCATCTGGGCAGCCCATGACCTTCTTACACTGCCCAGGCTTGCACCCTGGAGAGGTCACTTAAGTGTTGCTAAAGCACCAAAAACAATGCGGGAGGCAGCAATTATGAGTTACTGGTCTGTGCAGCCACAGCAGGTGCTGTGATTCTGCAGTTGTTTGACTTCACCCCCACCCCACCCCCAGTGGCACGCTCCATGAGCCTAAATTTCGAGTGGGACCCAGCAGCTCACCACTCCATTCACAGGGCTTAAGAGCCTGTAAAAGGAAAGGTGCCCCAACAGGCACCTAAGTCATTGAGGGATTTAGAAGTCAAAACTAATACCTTAAGTTGGACAGTGTAGTTGGATAGGCAGGTAATGTAGCTTCCATAGAATTGGTGTTACAAGGCAGCATGTTAGCACTCTACCAGCAGCATTTTGCACTAGCTGCATTTTCCAGACTATATTCAAGGGAAATGCTGCAAAGACTGCATTGCAGCAGTCAAGTTACGAGCTTACTGAGACATGTGATGCAAAAGCAAACCAGGTGCCCCTCCCCATGGGAAAAAGAAGATAAAAACAGGGACCTTTGGGACACAGTAGAGGCATCTGAGATAATCTCAGAGGTTGAAATGGTGCCAGGCAGCTGAGGAACATTACTTTCCTCATTCTTCTTTTAGTTTCCATAGTGCAAAGTAAGTGTAATAGCTCAGTTTTCTGGGCATATGTGTTAGGGGTTTACAGTAGGAACCTACCATTTCCCATTGTGGGAGTTTATGTCAGTTAGCAGAGAGAAAGAGTGTAACTTCCTCACACTCCCATTTTTCCCCACTGTCAGCAGACCCGCCTCTCTGACCCAACATCTCTAGACAATGGTGGGCCCTCTGCTGGATCTCGGTAGGTGACCCAATCATGGAACCATATTACTCAAGGTCTGATGTAATCTTAATTGAATCTTTGCAATTATTTATCAGTATTATAATATAAAACGTTCTCTCTATTGTGTGGTATTGACGTATGAATTGGCTGTTCTTATGCCATACATAGATTTTTATTCTGTATATGTGGTTTATTCAAACTGAGTTCTCTGAAAAGAACACTAGCACACAGCAGATTGTTTAACATAATAAACCACTATAATGATGGCATTTTACAAGCTTATATAGCCAGTGTAAACTTGCAGCTAACTTAGCATTGAGATAAGTACATCATGCCCTGAATTGTTGTTAAGAGAGGCTGTTGTCCGCATGTGTGCACAGTTAAATAAGCTATGTAATGTATTGTCTCAACCCTGAGATTTTGCACCCAAGGAAGCTTATATTTTATTGTTGAAGAAAAAAGTATAGCAAATTATTGTATGTATAAAATAATAGAAATTATTGAAACTGCTTAGCTGCTAAGGTTATCCCAGCACACTATTTCACATCACTAGACTTGATAAATTTTAATCAACACCTTTGGGAACGTGTTTTCAGTATCTAAATGTTTTCTTATTTCTTTTGGATATATATGTAGTGCATCTGAAATTTGGATCAATAAACTTCATTCTTGTATTACCCTGTTGTTGTTGTTGTTGTTGTTTTTGCTTCTGCTTCCAGTTCCTTTTTGGAGTAACAATTTGTTTGTTGCATGTTGTGAAGAGGTAACAGCTTAATTCTAAAGCCTCATTTCAAGATGACAGTGATAATTTATTAAACTTGTTAGTTGTTTGTTATACAAAAGGTCTCCAAGTGACTACAACATATTTCAAGTGTGAGTAAAAATGCATCACATTAATACATTTACACAAAAATACATTTACTGGATGGGCAAGAGCATCATACCTGGTAGCATTGCATGTGCTCAGTATCACTTTATTCTGGTTTTTCAATATATGTATATTTTTCGCACACCAGCCAACTATCTGCTTTTAATATTGAAGTTTGCCTTGCTAACAGTGTACACATGGGCATAGAGATCCAGTAGAAGTAAGATATCAAATATATTCTTTCCTATTAAGCATCACCAGGCCTTAGAGCAGCAGAATTAGGTGATCAGTTTCTTTAAAAGTGTAAGTGAAAGGGATATTCTTGCTTTTGGGGAAAAAATTCCCTGGTGTTTGTTAAAATTAATCCTGCCTTCTATTAATATAGATTGTGTAAAATGGATGCTGCTACATAAATGCAATTTGTTTCTGTAAAGCTGATCTACCTTTACAGCAAATGTAATTGGTTTGAGATAAATTGCTGATTTTTAATTTTGTGGATAATGTGAAACCTGTTGTTAACATAAATAACTTTTTGGAGAGCAATATGTAATCCTAATGACTTGGTGAGCACCTGTCCCTTGAGTAGTTACTCCGTAACAAATTCCCCAAATTTTGCTTGCGTTCTGAGATTAGATTTTTTTTTTGTATTTCACATTATACCCCACATTCGTTCTCAGTTCTTTTTAGCATGTAGCGCTGTTCAAACCGAAGGCTGCATTCACGTGATCAGCTCAATTTAAGACCATCTTGCTTGCATGTTATCAGTTAGCAGGCATACAAGTGCCATAGCTTGTAACAGTGCAGCTAAAAACCAACACCTACTCATTAAAGGACACAGCTGTCATGGGCTGTGGTTTTTGGCCCTCAATTTCTTAATGGTTAAAAACAAAGCAGAGGAGATATTTAAGGAAGAGACTGTCTCCAGCAACACTTGGTGGACATGAGAATTCTGAAGGCTCACAGAGGTCCATCACCTGCACGGACTTACCCATTTGCTTTAGGAAAGAAATTTATGTGAATGGGAACTCCATGTAACTATTGGAACTTGCACAACACTCAGAACTGAGGACACTCCAATACAGAATATTATTTTTTCTTTCTTTTCCCTAGGGAGAAGTCAAAAAGTAAACCTGAGGGTTTTCTTTAGAAGGAGATGTACCTTATAAAAATGTGTGTAAAATTACCTGTTCACAATCATTGTGATATAGTGAATATGTTGTCAGGTTTTGAGTTGAGGTACTCTATACTGCTGTTTAGACTTGCTTTCCATCCCCGGTGAAATCCTGGATGCTTGCTTGACCTCACAGTGTTTACTTACAAAAGGATATAGTAAGTTAAACTTTTTCTTTATAGATGACGCTTGCAATGTAGTTATTAACCTGAGCTTGGCATGTGCCTAGCTAGTATAACTGGGAAGACAACTGGCCTAATAGGATAACTATTAATGTAGCTACAACCCAGAACTTAATGCCACAGCAAAGGTAGCACATTAGTCCAAAAAAATAACAAATACTAGTACCCTGATTTAGCCAGGCTTTAGGAAGAAGTGGAAGCTGCAGTGGGATCATATAAGGAGGGTCCAATATTCTGCTTGCATTGATTTGTTACATGTGGGGTGCTGTGTGTTTCTGATGGAAATCAGGCTGAAATTTGTTACTGGGAGCTGTACAGCAGACAGCCAAGGAGCTGTTCACAGAACCATCAATGCCCTTGTAAAGCAGGTGGGCTTGTTTGGATTGAAAAATTTCTTTATTGGCAAGGACAGTGCCATCAAATTGTGAATCTGGTGATTCAGGGAAAATGCAGCCACATCCAGAACAGGCTCAGTAACCTACTCCAGAATCATCAGAACTCACAAACAGTATCTCCATCTTCTTGGATCTCCGTATTCAGTTTGTTTTCCATGATCTAATCCAAAATTCCTGGGGTCTTTTATTTTCTAGTTTTATTGTGGATTTTAAAATTACTTTTATGAGTTTTTGTTCTTACTGTCTGAGTAATACTGTAATACCACTTGGTATTGAAGTTGGTATTGAAGGTGGGCATAATCTTGTATATTAACAACTGGGATCTGCAGCAAAACGAAGTGCCATTTTGTTTGTGGTGTACTTCTGTCCAGAATTCCAGCTAGCTATGCACCTTTTGCAGGAAACTCTATTCCATTCCATTTCCTTTACCTTAGTTTTGACCCCATCGAACTCTGGCCCAGCAGCCATTCAGCATTCTGTGGCCCCTGAGCCTTTGCAATTGCCACTGGGCTATTTTGAGGATACATTTTTCCTCCTTCGGTTTTTTCATAAGATATTTTTCCTGCAAACTTCTGCATTCCTCCAAGCCTGCTGATTCCTACTTCTTTTGTAAGGAAGGTGAGTTTGGTATTAGCTGGACTTCCTCCTCCTCCCCCACTGGGCCATCTACTCTCAACTGCCCTGAAGAGAGAAGCACATAACACCACATAGCTTCCTACTGCAGTGAAATAAAGAGAGCAGGGTATCAGCATGCTTGAGTTGACTCCAGGATTTGGAGAAATAAAGCGTTTAGGAGTGAAAAACTAAGGGGCATACCCCCAAAGCCTAATGAGGACTCCGTGGTCACAAGATGCTGAGTATCTCTTGGGGGAGAAGATTGGAAACCAGGTGGAGGATTAATGGACAGGATATATTGAAAAAAGGTATGAAAATGAGCACTTGATCTGCTTCATTTTGTTGTAGTTTCCTGGTAGTAATCTAATTGATAGGTAGTTCGGTAGCTGAAAGGGTGACTGGAGTCTTGGAGGAATAGGTGAATAATAAGAACTAGTGATCTGCATCTGGCTAGCATAATTAAGTTTGATAGTGGTACATAGTGTTCAAGAAGACAAGCTTAAAACCTTTGAAGAAATATGGAGACTATTTTTCAATGCATCAGTGATAATGGAATGCCGTTTATTGAAGTAGTTCTTGGTGCAATTGAAGCACTTTGTTACCTTTTTCTCTTTAGCTTACTCTCCCTGTCTCTCTTCTTTTCTTTTGGAAAAAGCAACCCAGCATCATAACCTCTGTTCTAACTGGCACTGTGACATTTCATGCAAGTCGGCAGGAGGAGGGAGAAAGGTGATGGGGCCACCTATCTGAGGAAATGAGGGGGATGGATAAATTGTTGTGCTTACAGTTCTTGGTCACGTAGATGCTTTCTGTTAAGAACATAAGAAAAGCCCTGCTGTATCAGACCAAAGACCTGTCTAGTGCAGGCTTCTGTGGCTATCCAGATGCCCACAAGCTTTAAACATGTTGCTGTGAAACACATTTGCTTGGGATTCGGCTCCTATCCTTGAAAAGATGAAAGATTGAATAAAATGATAACAGGAAGGAAAAGGATGTTCTCCGGGAGAAAGCAGCACTGGTGAACATTGCCACACATTATAGGTGTTACTGGTAGGAAAATGGAGAAACAAGGAAGCTTGTGCTTCGCTAGATGTGCATGCAAAACCATTAAATCATTGCTTTGAGCCAGCTGGTAGGTTTGTAGGCAACCTGAGAGACAAGAAATGCCTACAAGCTTACATTCTGATCTTGTGGACTGGCATAATAATTGCAGTTGAACTTGCACCATTGTAGTTTAAAGGCACTATTTTATCTGGGCACTGTGAGGCTATATGAGAGACTTCAGTTCCTATCCTGAGAGAATGATACAGTGAGCTTTCAGTAGCACAAGTAAGCTGTATGGAGGGATAGAGGACGTGGGAAGGAATGGGAAAGCATCAGTGCAGTGGCTCATAGGATAAGCCCATAAACATGTTTTTGTAGCTGTAATTAGACCTACTTTTCTTTCAATCTTGATACTTGATATAGGCAACTGCAGATTTATGCATGTTCAATTGATGCACGGCTGTTCACACAAGCATCATTGCGACCCAGAAGTGGTTGGAAAAGGGGGTGCACTGGGTCTATGCATGCTCCACCGTTGTGCATGACCTGGAACCAAACCCCCATGCAGATAGGGGGTTGCCTGTAGTATATTTGAAAGCAACTATACAAATTTTAGTTTACATTTCGACAATTTTTTTTAGCTTTTATAATTGGGAATTCACATATGAATGATATTAACTTGATTATTTTTTGAAATTATAAGCAAAAGTCAGTCAGCTAGATATACAGTTCATTCCAAAATGTCATGTAAATACTGTACATGTTAGATTAATTTTAGAGATGGTATTTAAAAGTACAAAGTAATAAAGCAGAATGGCCACAGGTTTTATAGAAGGTAGTAGCATCCTGATGAATGATGCTGATGACTCACTTTTCTATAACAGGAAGGGGTGGGGCTGCCTTCCTTCCAACCTGGCTTGCTGTGGTGGTTGTTCTGTTAGGCATGGTCACCAATTACAGCTTACAAAACAGCTTACTGCACCTGACCACACCCACTTGAACAATAGCTCATGAGGGTGTGGTCAGGTGGCAGTGTGAAACAGGAGCATTCAGCAATTCTGCCTCTCATTTGGCTCTTTGGCCATTTTATATACATCCTATACATAACCAATGTTTGCAACTGTCTTAGCAAGTTAAAAGAACTAATCTTCTAAAGATAAGAGGATAGCATAGGCTGAACCCTAAATGGAAACGCTGTGTGGCTCTGCTTGAAAGTGGAGGATATATAGAACATCTTCATTTTTAAAATAACATTGTACTGAAATATATGCGGAGGGGACTGCTTCACAGTATTGCAGTCAGGATTCTGTGTATCAATGAAGACCTGTCCCATGATTAGGGTATTGATTTAGTTTTCTAACCAGGAAACAAATTCATTCTGTATGTGCAAGTGACTATCTTTCCCTTCACTGTAACTCACCTATAAAGGATTTTGCACCAAAAACTTATTTTGTTACTTACGTTTTTGCTGAGCCAGCTGAGATCTGTTCAATATCCAGCACAATATTCCTTAATTAAACAGGACAGACCTGCCTTCAGCCTTGGATTCTCCCCACCCTCCGTTCTTGTTGTCCTGGCACGCTCTTTAAAGGCTGTTGATTAGAAGTAGGAAAAAATTAGGACAGTTGAGGAGAGTTGAGAACAAATGAGATTTGGCAGATCCAGATGTGTCCTCTTGATGACCTGTTGAGAGAAGACTGGATTATGGGGAGAGGGAGGTGAGCTTGGTGGTAGAGCACATGCTTTGCCTGCAGAAGGACCCAGGTTGAATCTTCGGCTTCTCCAAGTAGGACTGGGAAAAGAGTCATATCTAAAACCCTGGAGAGCCACTGCCAGTAAGTAGACAATAATGACCAAGAAGCACCACAGATAGCTTCCTTTGAAGGGACAGATGAAGGAAAAAGGGAACTAGGTTCTTCCGAAAACTCTTTATTTAGTTATATAAAGTATGTATGGACAGCAACCATTTTGCACCGAGCACGCATAAGCCCACCCCATTCCATCCTCTTTCGGGTTCAAAAAGATCTGTGTGTTGACAGTTGCACAGCACCTGACGTGCAGCCGCAAATGGCTGCCACCTGTGGATGTCACCCTTCCATTTTTTAAAAAAAGTTCCAAACAGCTTCTGGCATATTTAAATTATTATTATTCCCCTGAAGTATTCCAAGAATTGAGTAGACTTGCTGCTGTGAGAGTAAGCATGTGAACTTTGTATGCCGTCCGAATCCAGACTTGTGCATTGCCTCAGTCCACACATGAGTCATGAGCTGTAAATCCAAGACAAACCCTTTTTTCAATTGCATTTAATGTTTCTACTGAAGGCATTTATACTTTCTTTTTGTTTTTATGATAACAGCAAAAGTCTTACATATCAGACAAGTACTGCCTCTGTTGACTTTTTGGCACCTTTCTCTTTCAATAAGCTTTCTGAATAGAAAAAGTCCCAGTTGGTATCTGCACTGGGTTTGAAATTATTTTAATTGTGTGTGTGTGTGTGTGTGTGTGTGTGTGTGTGTGTGTATATATATATGAATGAATGAAATGGTTTTATATATGCTTTATTGTGGATATTTTTATTTTCCTTATTCTTTATTGTGAAATTGCTTCAGGCTGCTTCATAGGAAATGATTCATAAAACAATAAATAAAAGTTTAATGTTTCCAAGAACTTATGTTTCCAAGAAAGTGGGGAAATAGTTCTGGGAGCTACTGAGCACATTCTTCTGAGTGATTGATGTCCCACAATACTTGGTTGTGATCTTTGTTAGAGTTAGTCAGAATATGTTCTTCTATTATTTTACTGGATGTTTCAGATTGGGTAGTTGTTAGGTTTCATTGGCTAGAAATGGCTCATCATAGTTATGTTAAGAAGAAAGGTATACCATGTAGAAACATGTAAAAAATAGCTTGTGGGAGAACTGGTTTTCTCTACTATTGTAGCCCTGTTAGTTTCAATTTGTATGAACACTGACCATGGCATTCCAGAACAAAGGTTTTCAACAGAAAAGCTTAAACTTAAAAAGTTGGAGAGAAATTCTCATACTACTGATTAAAGAGAGAATGGTGATCCTGTCTGTTTTAGAAATATGT